AAATAAATTAAATAATATAAAATGTATTTGACACCATACAGATAAACACAAGTGGAAATAGAATATATATTATAAAGTGAGAGGCAGAGGAGATAGTTCAAGTAGAAAACCCAAAATAAGAGAAAGAAATATTCGTAAAAAATAAAAAATGAATAGAATAATTAATAAAACATACAATGGGAGCGAAAGCAGTCGTATAGCAAGCACGGGATGAGGCAAAACATCAAAATTGCAGGGAGAAGAGAGGAGTGAGAAGGGGGACTGAAGGCAAAACAAGCAGAGATATTCGCAAAAAAATTAGAAAATAGAAAATAATCAAAAAAAAAAGAAAAATATAAATAAAAAATAACGAGAAAGAATCAGAAATGATTGTAAGATTCAAGTGAAGACGAGCAAGGAGAAGAGAATGCCAGAGGTGAGAGATGGAAAAGGAGAAGTAGGTATGAGAAGGCAGGCGAGACAACAGACAAAGGAGTAGAGAAGCAAGCATAAATAAAGAAAAAAGAACGAAAAAGGAGATATATTCGTAAAATGAGTTTGAAGGAGGAAGGAAAATAGGAAGTGGGAGAGAAGGCCGATCAGGGGACAGACAGAAAAGAAGGCGGAGAAAGAGAGAGGTGCAAGTTGGAAAGAGAGGAGAATAAGGAAAAATAACGAGAAAAAGCAGATGAGCTCGTAAAATAAAGATAAAGGAAAGCGGAAGGTATGAAGTGAGAGAGGACGGGTAGACATGAGGGAGGACGAAGAGACAAGACAGAAAAGAAGGCGGAGAAAGAGAGAGGTGCAAGTTGGAAAGAGAGGAGAATAAGGAAAAATAACGAGAAAAAGCAGATGAGCTCGTAAAATAAAAGGAAAGACAGGAGGGAGGTATGAAGTGAGAGAGGTGGTGGACATGAGGGAGGGCGAAGAGACAAGGCAGTATGAAGGAAAAGACAGAGAAGAAGAGGTAGAAGAGAAGAGGTGTGAAATAAAAGAAAATAAAGAAAAAAAAGTAGAAAAGCTCGTAAAATAAAGATAAAGGAAAGCGGAAGGTATGAAGTGAGAGAGGACGGGTAGACATGAGGGAGGACGAAGAGACAGACAGTTAGTGAAGAAGAGAAGAGGAGGTAGAAGAAGTAAAAGAGAAGAAGGAGAAGTGGGTAATAAAAGAATATAAAGAGAAAAATAAAATATAGAAAATATTAATAAGAAAATAATAGAAACGAATGTAAACATTAGGTGGAGGAGGGGAAAGCAGTAGTGAGAAAAATGGAGAAGATGAAAGAAGACAAGTAAGAAATAAGAAAAAAAAGGAAAAAAGGAAAAAGGAAAGAAATATTCGTAAAAATAAAGGGAAAGCAGAGGAAAAAAATAGAAAGTGAGAGAGAAGGCAGAGGAAGGTAGAGAAGAGGCAAGGCAAGGCATGAAGTAGAAGTAGAAGAGGGAAGGGAGAGAGAGAGAGAAGTAGGAAAATAAAAAAAGGTAGAAATATTCGTAAAAAAAAGAAGATGGCAGAAGAGGAAGAAGAGAGGCTTGGCGAAAGCACGGAAGGTGAAGTAAAGGCGACAGATGGGGAAGGCATGAAGTAGAAGTAAAAGTAGAAGATGGAAGATGGTGAGTGGGAAGTAAGAGAAATAACGAAAAAAGTAGAAATATTCGTAAAAATAAAGTGAAGGAGGCGGAAGAGGAAGAAAGGAAAAAGGAGGAAGAGACGGGGGATGAGAAGGGAAAGGCAAGGGAAGACAAGGGAGATGAAGTAGAGGTGAAAGGTGGGGAAGGAGGAGAGAGAAGCAGAAAAAATAAAAAAGCAAGAGAAATAAAGGAAAAGGCAGAAACGCTCGTAAAAATAAAGTGAAGGAGACGGAAGAGGAAGAAGGGAAAAAGGAGGCAGGAGATGAAAAGGCAGGAGAAAGATGGTGAAGGGGGAGAGATGAAGAAAAGAAGATAAGGCAAGAGGAATAGAGAAAGATAGAGAAAAAAGGCAGAAACGCTCGTAAAAATAAAGTGACGGAGGCGGAAGAGGAAGAAATGAGGCAGGGCAAGGGAGGCGAAGTAGAGGAGAAAGCAGGGAAGGTGTGTAGGTAGAAGAAAGAGAGGGAGGAAAAAAGATAGAGAAAAAAAGGTAGAAACGCTCGTAAAAAAAGAAGAAGGCGGAAGAGGAAGAAATAGAAGGAAGAGAAGGCAGGGATAGAAGGGAAGGCAAGGCAAGGGAGGTAATAGGCAAGAGAGAGATGGTGAAGGGGAAGAAAGAAGGAGGATGGAGAGAGGAAAAGAAGAGTAAAAGAAAGAAGAGAAGAAAAAGGTAGAAATGCTCGTAAAGAAAAGAAGACGGCGGAAGAGGAGGAAGAGACGGAAGAGAGGGAAGGTGAAAGCACGGAGGGTGAGTAGATAGAAGAAAGAGAAGAAGAAGAAGGATGGAGAGAGAGAGAGAGGTAGGAAATAGAGAAGAAAAAGAAGTGGGTGACGGAAAAAAGGAAAAAAGAAGTGGAGAAAAAGAGGTGGGAGATGGAAAAAAAGGAAAAAAAGAGAGAGGCGGGTGGATGAAGGTAGAGAAGGAGGGAGGAAGAAGAAAGTGGAAAAAAGAGAAAGAAAGGAGGAGAAGAAGAGTAAGAAAAAAGGTAAGAGAAGAAGAAAAAAGAGAAAAAAGGCGCAGTGGGTGAGGAAAAGGGAGAAAAAAGTGGAAGTGTGTGTGAGGAAGTAGAAGTGAAAAAAAAGGCGCAAGGTGGAAAAAAGGAGAGAAAAAAAAGAGAAGTGGGTGTGTAAAGAAAGGAAGAAAAAGAAAGTAGTGATGAAAAGTGAAAAAAAAGGAAGAGGTGAGTGTAGAAAGAAAAAAAAAAGAGAAGAGGTGGAGAAAGAAAGAAGGGAGGTTACTTGGGTTACTTGGTTTGGGTTACTTGGGTTACTTGGGTTACTTGGGTTACTTGGTTACTTGGGTTACTTGGGTTACTTGGGTTACTTGGGTTACTTGGGTTACTTGGGTTACTTGGGTTACTTGGGTTACTTGGGTTACTTGGGTTACTTGGGTTACTTGGGTTACTGACGTAGGTAGGGACCGATGGTCCCGGGGGACCGTGGGGGTAGTAGGAAATGGGGGACCGTGGGGGGGGGTATGATTAGGGACCATTCAGGGACCGTTTGGGGACCATTGGGTTTGAAGGTTGGGACCATTGGGACCATTGGGAGCATTTTCGTCGTATGGTCCTTGGAGTTTGTTGGGGACCGTTTGGGACCGTTGGGACCGTGGGGGGCCAGGGACCTTTTAGTTTTTAGGGACCGTGGGGGTTGTTTTCGAGGACCATGGCCCCTGTATGGTCCTCTGGGATGGGACCGAAAGATTTTTGGTTGGGGGGGGGACCATTCAGGACCATTTTGGGGACCATGGTGGCAGGGAGGAAACACAAGCAAGTTAAGTTGTTGTTGAAGATGAAGATGTCAATTTTGATTTTGATTTTGATTTTGATTTTTTTGGTTTTGTTTTTTTTTTTTTTTTATTCAATTAAAATAGTTTTTTCTTTTTATTCTAATATTTTTTTGGCGAGTTTCAAGGCTCGTTCATGAGATAATATTTTTATATTTTTAAACAATAAAAGAAGAAAAAGAAATTGAAAAAACTATTTTGATGCCGTTTGAACCATTAGATATCGAGTTATTGCTAAAGAAAGAGTTCCTATAGAAAAGGTAAGGCGGTGGCACAAAGGCTGGTGGTGAGTGGACTTTGTCGTTGAAAGGCCAACCAAGACCAAGTAGGCAGGTAAGTACGGTACGGTAGGGTAGGGTACGTTAGAGTAGAGTAGGGTAGGGTAGGGTAGGGTAGGGTAGGGTAGAGTAGGGTATGTCTAGACAGAGAGAGAAAATGTAGTTTGATTGCTGAGAATATTCGAAATTTTTTTTTCATTTTATATTGTTTTATTTGAAAAATGCAATATATTGATAAAAATTTCAGCACGTATATCGAGCTCGTTTTTGAGATTCTATTTTTTTGTTTTATATAATAAAGAATGAAAAACATTTTAATGAAACTATTTTGACGCAGTTTCGTCAAGAAATGATCGAGTTATTCGCTAAAAGGAATTATTATGTTTACTTAGCGGCTCTCGCTCATAGTTTGCAAAGTATGACGTACAAGGTAAGGGTAATGCATAAAAGAGAATGCTTGTAAGATTTATACAGACAAAGGAAAAGGCCAGACAGAGGTCGTAGAAACGTAGCAAGTATAGACAACAGATAAAGCAAAAAGAGATGAAGTGACCGAAGGATGAGAATTCAAATGGTTTTTTCCTTTTTCAATTCATTTTATGTCTGAACCCTACAAGAAATTGGGTTGCAATTTGTTTTGTATAGATTTTTTTGCTTGAAATACTTTTCTCATTAAGCTATCGGGTTTTGGTCAAAAATAGAAATAAATAAATAAAATGATTTAATCAAATATATAGATAAAAAACGAACCATAAATATCCAACAGAAAAGACACAATTCAAAAAAAAAACAAAAAAAATAAATAAATAATAAAAAGTAAATAAATAAACAATGTGGGAAATAAACCAATACGCCGAGATTCGAACCCATGTACCTTCGCACAAGTCCGGGAAATTTGCAATAATCGACGGATCAGTTGATTACTAAGTTTTGACGTATAGGTGCGGGGTAATAGATGGTTGACGGACTTCGCCTTCCGTTTCTTTTCTTTGTTTGTTTTACTTATCAGCAGAGTAGACAAAGAAGGGAGGCTTAGGGATACGGTGATTGGGAGGTCGCGTCGCGTTTCTTTGTTGATTTTCCCCGCTAGATCTGCCTTTGTATATCTCTTTTGTTTATTTCAAATATGACTATAAATACCCTTGTTAAAACTGTTTATTGTTATTATTCTTTATTAAATGTAAAATATAAAAGAAAGAAAGAAAGAAAGAAAGAAAGAAACAATCAAACAATGAAAGAGACAATGGTTGAAAAAATCCTATATAAACTAGCTTAGCCAATTGCAAATGTTGATAGTGAATCGACAAAAGACAAATATTGGATTTTGTCGGTCTACTGGTTTCAGTCGTTTTCATTTCATTGTTTTATTATTGATTATTTCTTATTTCTTATTTTATAATTTTATACTTTATACCCCTCACCCGGAGAAAAGAAGAAACGAACGACAAATGTTTCCTGCAGATACTGTTCCCAGAGCTTTTTGTCATCCAATACTCTTGATTATCATCATCGAAAGTTGCATCAAAATTTTGTACACATAGCGATAAATGATAATCGGGATCCTACTGTCGTAAAGATGGTTCGGAACGAGGGTGGATGCTTTGTATGTTGCTGTAAAAAGCAGTTTACAATGCCTAATAAATTTAGGGAACACGTCAAGGGGTGTGGCACGTTTATTGATCTGTATGTTGTAGGACCCAAGGAATCGAGGATAGAAGCAGCAAAGAACAATCAGGATGTGAATGTTGTTGCAAAAGGAAACGATAAATTATAGAGGGAAAGGAAGCTGTTTCGTCTATTGCTATTGATGTTGATGATGAAGAGGACCAAGATGAAACAAGGGACGACTATGGAAACGATAATGATGATAATGACAATGACGATAATACCGACCGAAAGGACGCGAATAATGATAATGACAAAGCCAAAAACAATGTACAACCGCAAAAGAATCAAATTTCGACCGATACCATCAACAAACTTCAAGACGAAACGGCTTTACCGTCTGACTATCGTTCTTCTTTCAATCTAATCTCCTCCCATCCAATTTCTGTTCCTGCACTATATCCGTCTCTTACTCCTACACCTACACCTACTCCTTTCCTTCTCCGTCTCCGTCTCTTACTCTTACACCCAATCGTCTTGAGACTGCTTCGGAAACAGCATCTTCCGTTGCTAGGATTGGTGTTGAAGACGAGACGTTTGATATGAAGCAAGAATGCGTTTGGCAAGGTACCCAAGATAACTCTTGTTGCTCGCATGAGTCTCCTTACTACGAGATCAACCAAGGGTTAGCTACCTACGGCTTGCAAATTTTATCGATCCATGCTGTATCGTGCGTCGAATGTGGAGGTCTGCTGGATGTAGAACATGTCAAATCACACATGCAAAACGTTCACCATGTTTTCGCTTTGAAGATGAGGTTGAAAACCTGTTTAAGCAGATGAATCACATCGATCTAAAGAGTCCATCCACCGTGTCGAACGAGCGTTCATCCTCATGGGAGACGTATCCGTGTATATTCGGCTTGCCTGTTTTGTTGAATGGATACGAATGTACCATTTGTTTTGATAGTGGAGGAGGTTTGTTCATGGAATTGCGGACACGTTTTACCGTCATGTTCGACGGCATCATGGGAGGACCGTGAATGTCAATGAGTGTATGCGACGAGTTTCGTTGCAAACGGTGAAAAACAAAAGCTATCAAAGACATCGATACTTTAAAGTGGATTTCGCTCCCGTAGTAGGAGAAGATAGAAATCATCAATTGGATTCGTTGATTGATTCTTGGATTTGGATCGTGTGGACGAAGATTCTGATGCCGATGCAAATACAAATACATATACAAACACATACGCTGAAAACGAAATGCAACTGAAGAGTATGGCGACGACAACGATTCGGTGGATGCTCGTCAAAAGAATTTGCTAAACCAGCAACTGGGTTGGGGAGCCATTGTCAAAGCACTTGGCCGTAACTGGCAAGGCTTGATTGGATGGCATTACATTGACGGAGCCATAAACTCCAAGATTATCCTGGAAGAGTTGATTCGGTATTATTATAGAGGATTTCAGTACTTGAAGTGGATGATGATTGGCACGAGAAAGTTGTTTACAGAAGGAGGAAACTACAGTGCGCAAGAGCGTGGGTTGAATCCGCTGGAGCAAAGGGTCAGCGTCGTCAATTATGCGCGAAGTACTGCTCGGTATTTGATGTTTTTATTACGACGACCAAATTGTCAAAAGAATGGCCATGTACGATCCCATTTGGAACGGATGTGCAGAATCGTTTCGGCTGAAGCTGAAGCTGAAGCTAAAGCGAAACAAGGCGGTGGTCGAAAACGAAAAAGAGATGAATCACACCTAGGAAAAGAAGCAACAGTCGAAGACGAAGATGCCAAAGTCTCTGAATGGATTGATACCGCTATTGGCGATGATGATAATGACAATGATAATGATAATGACATTATCATGATGGAGGAAGAAGCGTTGGATGAGAGTGAAGAAAACGTGCTTTACAATTAGAGTTGGAGCAACAGAGACAAGAGGAAGAAGCTGCTGGTATACAGAAAGACCAAAACAATGACCGAGGGCAACAGGACGGTGACGACGTTGACGACGACGTTGACGAGAAGGAAGAAAGAAGAGGGTTCTACTTTCGAAAGGATGAAGCGTATTCTGAATTGCACGAGGCATTAAAGTTGGCTTTTCTACGACAGTACGAATTCTCGGAAAGTATCCGCGACACAGAAATCGTCAAGTTCTTGGCATGCTTGTCTCTGCGTGACGATGGAACGTCAAGGTATGCGTATGAAATTTCGTCGTTCTTTGCTCCCTTGATTTATACGTGTCGTTTGGTCGCTGCCAGTGAATTGCAACGGTTGGTTGAGGAAGGAAAAGTCACACTGTCTTCTATACCCGAGTTTCATACGGCTGGTTCCTTTGCATACACACACGTGTTTCGCTATATATCTCTGGGCAAAAGGAATATCTACGACATTCTGTATGAAACCAACAAAATCGTACGTGATGTGACTAGGACGGAGGGGTATGCGAATACCTTGGAAGGTCTGAACCCGTCAAGGGTGTTGTTTCGACCGGCGTTCAATTCCAAATATACGATTGTTGGGAGCCATATCAACAATATGGTTGTCTTGGACCTAAGTGATCTGAGCCATCTGTATGAAAGCATGTTTTCAAGGTTGCAATTGCTCTTGGAGGAATTATGCTTTGGTGTGGATATGGAAAAGCTACTACCGAGTTCTTTGTTACAGTCAGTTGGTGACGATATTAACAATAGCAAGCTAGGGTATTCCTTTTTCAAAGAATCCGTAGACATTCGGATGACAAGAAGTGTGCTGTTGCGAACGGTTTTGAAGAATGATGAACTTCGACATCGATTTTTGCCGCTTGTTTCCAGGGACGATTTTTACGATTATTTTGAAGAGCTTGTCCAAGTGAACAAAAAGAAAAGCCAGAATGGCACCCAAGAGCAAGACTGGACCGATAAAGAGAAAGAGAAAGAGAAAAAGAAAGGCTCGAGGATAGAGAAAAAGAACGACATGTCGTGGATGGATGACTTTGACGCAGTCTTCAAAAAAGATTTGAAATGGTCAAAGACATCGATTCTGAATTATGAAACAAAGGCGACCAAGTTCAATGAGCTGTTGTTTTGCTTGGTCTATATTTCGGCTGGACAACCGGCGAGAGCAAAAGAAATGGTACATTGGACGCTGAAGAATTCAAAGTACAAAGCACGAGAGCTGTACTTGATGTTTGGTCGTTTGATGATTTACAGCCGGTACGACAAGACGAGAAACATGAAGTTTGCGGAAAAGCCAATCCCTCGATTCCTCCCAGAGTCTCTGTCAACATTGGCCCTTCGATACTATGCACTAGTACGTCCGTTTCAAGCATTCTTGAGCTCTGTGAAAACAGGAAACAAACAAGCAGCTGCTGTTTATACGAATGCTATGTTTGTTGTGAATGGTGGGAAACGTTTGGATAGTGGGATGCCTTATCGAATATTTCCAAAGGTGACATATGAATGCCTTGGAAAGCCGTTGGGATTTCGAAATTACCGACATATTGCTCATTACTTTAAAGAAAGAAATTTAGAGGAAGACATGAGCAAAAATTCGTATTTTGATCTACAAGCCGGGCATACTCGAAGTACAGCGCTTCTCATCTATGGACGCACGATGGACAAGTTGCATTATTTGCCAGCGGATTACTTTGCGAATTTTTTTCGAGCAAGTTTTCAATGGCAAGAGCTGCTAAGAATCAAAGACAACTCTGCACATGGTCTCTTGGTTGAACAATGTAATCCAATCCTAAAAGAAATTCGCGAGTCGACGAAAGAACTAAAGAGCATGATACAAAGTGGTAAACAAGCGGTTGAAGAAGAAGGTAAAGAAAAACAAAAGGGAGAAGAAAAGTCGCCAAAGCAAAAAGTGTGTGTTTCTTGTTTTTCGGCAACAACAACAACAACAGCAACAGCAACAGCAACAGCAACGAAGGAACAACCTTCGTGGTCGGATACTGGCTCTCGTGGGATTCCTCCTTCACAGATCTACGTTCAACTTTGCCGTTGGGCATTAGCCCAATTCTGTGGACTGAGTGCAAAGTTTCGGTCCAAGAAACAATTTCATTCAGTTTATTTTTCTGTGCAAGGTCAGAAGAATCTGATTATTGTTCTTCCTACAGCATCGGGTAAGTCATTATCATTTCTGTTGCCAGCCTTGATTGATAAAACCATTCGACCAAACAATACCACATTGGTTGTTGTACCCGCGATATCCTTACGTGAGGACATGATGCGAAGAGTTAACGAAACAGGACTTGTCGAATGCACGAATACTTGGACTCAGTACAGGAACCAACCCGTGACTCCGTCGTTAAAACTGCCCGACCTGTTTATCCTTACGTACGAGTCTGCACTGTCCAATTCTGCATTGGCTTTCTTTGAGAGTCTTGGCGTTGCTGGTCGCTTAGCTCGTGTTGTTGTGGACGAAGCCCATAGTCTGTTGACGGATAGTACTTGGAGAAACACTTTGCTACAGGCACCAAGGTTGTCGGCATTGTTTGCGCCGATTCATCTGTTGAGCGGAACGTTTCCACGACCGCTGGAGACTCGTGCTAGCAAAACTTTTGGTGCTACGTTTACCGTTGTGAGAGACATATCGACAGCGCGACAGAATCTATTGTATCTTTTACGTCCGCTAGTGGCTAATGCGTTTTTGAACGAGTTGAGTGTCTTGATGCAAAGAGCTAGTGTCTATGAGGGCGATGGTCGTGTGATTGTGTTTTGCCAAAAAAGCACGAAGTGGAATACCTGCAACGAAAGATTCAACGGTCGGATCTTTTCCCTTGTACAGATGCCACGATTTACACGGGAGATTTAGATGAAGCGGAACGAAAAAGTCGTTTGAAAGTTTCGCAACCCGAATGGTAAGACACGAATCATGGTAGCAACCAAGGCGTTTGGTCTTGGGATCGACTATGGTGAAGTGCGTCTGGTAGTGCATTATGGATTACCGAACTCGTGTATGCAGTACGCTCAGGAAACAGGGCGAGCGGGAAGAGATGGTAAGTATGCTATTGCAGCTCTTTTCTACCAGGAACACGATTCTGTGTGGTCCAAGCATGTGGACGAGTCGATGAAGATGTTTATGAAGGACAAGACGATGTGTGTGCGTTCATACTTTGCAGCAGAGATGGATGGGGATAGTGATTGTTGTTCTTCATTTGAGAATTGTGTATATTGTTCTAGGTGTGCACAGATGTTTCTTGGTGAGTCAGCAATGATAAATATTCATGGATCAAACTTGGGGAACGGAGGAAATCGTACGATCGATGGAAGTACTAGCGAAAATGCTCGTACAGCATATAGTTTCTCACCAAACATGGGCGTGAGCATGAGTAAGGGCAATGGCAACGGCAACGGCAACGGCAACGGCAAGGACGAACGTAACTTTTCGACGCCAAAGTCAAAGTCAATAAAAGTTGGACATACACAGTCTTTTTCTCCGAGAAGGAAAAGGAAAGGAAATGACAACACCCAAACTTGTTTCTGCCAGTACTCCAGAGTTGAGTAGTGGTATGTCTGGGACAACCTTGTTGACACCGGGCAGTTCTAGCTCTATTATGCATTCGCCAACGTTGAAAAGAATTATATTTTGGATAAGCCTGCCCATGACAAACTTGCAAAGGACGGTAATTCTCCAAAGGTGGATGATGAGTATCGTGTTCACTCGCCGTATATGTCGTTTCAGAAGCGGCTCGCTGCTTGGGACAAAGATTCGCCCGTCAAGAGAAACAAAAGCGCTGGTATGGCGACGTTGAGAAAGCCTGGTGGATATGTTGGAGTTGATAATGAAGAAGATGATGATGATGATGTTGAGCAACAATTGCAGCGCAAGAGATTGTTGGAGTATAAGAGTCGTGTTCAAGATGTCAATCAACAGTTGATGGATGAGAATGCGATATCAGCGTCAGTTGCTGAATTCTTTGGGGTATCGAAAGACGACTGTTTGTTTTGCTTGATTATGGATCCTGATTCAAAACTCAAACAGCATCAACCGGGCAGATGCCCGATTGAGAGGAGTGCATGTTTCAAGTGCCGTAAAACGGATCATGGAAGAGCCCATTGCAAGATGGATGTTCAGTTTAAGGGAGTATGTAAGTATTGTGGATTAACGATCCATGAACATGATTCTGGTGACTTGGGATACACCCCGGAATGTCGTTCTTGGGCAAGAATCGATTGATACCGCTTACTTATACGGCATGGAACAGTAGACTGTTTAAAAAATCCATTGCAAATGAATTTCTCAATGGAGATACCACAGACGAAACATTTTACAAGTTTGTTTGTACCTCAACTACGAGGGTCTCTGGGTTTGTTCTTGTGATTCGACATGTGTTGGATGAACATTTGCATGCTCTGTAGCCCACTAGTTAGGATGAAGTTTAAAGTTGCAGGTTCAACTTTGACTCTTTATTTAAATTAAATTAAACTTAAAATTCAAAATTCAAATTCAAATCAAAGACAAAGTCAAACACTAGATGACTGCTTTGTTAAATATCAAACACATGATTGCTTTCATGTTGAAAAACTTTGCTAAATACTGTATAGTTATAGGATAGAGTAGATAGATTATGATAATAGATAATAGACAAAATTATTGAATACAATTTAGTTGAATTCGATTCCATCGTTTGTAAATGCTGAAAGCTGTAGTTTTTATGTCGTAGTGTCTTGCTTACTTGGGAACTAGTTCAAGATGAAGATGAAGATGAAGTAAAAAAGTTCAAATTTTCGAACTGACCTTTTTTTTTTAATAGTTCAATTAGTATAGTTTTTTCTTTTCTTTAAATAATTTTCATGTCGACTTTCTGGGCTCGTTCATGAGATGATATTTTATATTTTAAACAATAAAAGACGAAAAAGAAATTGAATAAAGCTGTTTCGACACCATTTCGACCGCTGAATGTCGAGTTATTCACGATATTGTCTATGGTATGGATGGGCGTATCTACGTACTTAGTAGCAGTTGGTGGTGAGTGGTGGGTCTTTTGTCGTAGACAGGCAGAGACAAACAGAGACAGGTAGAGACAGGTAGATGAAAATGGAAAAGTGATTGTTGAAAATGGTCAAAAATTTTTCATGTTGAAAAATGCAATATACTAATAAAGTTTAAAGGCAAAGTTTAAAGGCGTATATCCGACTCGTTTTTGAGATTCTATTGAATAGAATACAAAAATACAAGTTTAACAAAACTCGTTTGAAGCGATTTGGACTGCTAGATGTCGAGTTATTCGTAAAGAAAAGGTACGGTAGGGGTACGGCATGCACTTGGTATGTAGGTAGGTAGTGCTCCCGACTTGGTGCTGGAGTTTGCCGGATAAGATTGGGATTAGGCACTGGAAGCCAATTTGCAAAACTGATTTTAGCCGTAACGTCTTGACAATCGTAGTACACTTTACCAGAGTTGGGCTGCGGTGTGATATGGAATGTAATGCATTCCAGCGACATCCATAAAACTGAAAAGCGAATTCTCTCGTCGCTATGTAAACAACCATAAAGACTCGCAAGCCGAATACGATAAGTGGAATAGGACTACACGCAAGCGTCTACTATACATAATAATGATATATAGCGTAGTATATAAGTAAATAAACAAAAGTCAAAAAATTAGTAAATAAATAAAAAAAATAAAAAAATAAAGTGAAAATATTCAAAAAAAAATTTTTGTTTTTCTATTGTTTGTATGAATAAATAATGTATATTCAGACATGTTTCAAAGCGTGTATCCAGCTCGTTCATGAAATAATATTTTCTTTATTTAAATCAATGAAATAAAAATATTCAAACTCAACAAAGTGCTTTTGAATGGATTTCATTCGCTAGATGTAGAGATATTCGCAATTTTGTCAATACAGTAGGTGAGTGAGTACAGTGGGTGTCGCAAGTAGATATGAAAGGAAACAGCCAGCGAACGAGCAGTGTTAAAGAAAGACAAACCGAATTATAACAAAATGAATTATAAGACATATTCGTTGATGAAAGAATAATTGAAACAAAGAAAGAGCAAAAAAGTCATAAGTCAAAGGGATGAACTTGTTTGTTGCATGGAGGAATACAAGTCAAGCACAAGTCCAACCAGATTCCAGCACGACCCAACACTTCCAACCCAAGTAGCATATTGAAAGTAAAAGTTTATTTTGATAATAGGCAGCCTGTAGTAGGATAGCTCTGTGCTTGGCAGATAGAATTCTTTGTCGTTTGTCGCTGAGTTTGTAAGAGAATAAGCAAGTGAATAAAAAGCAGAAAAGCATAAAATAAGAAAAGATGAAGATAAAGAAAAAGAAAAAGATAAACTTGAAAAAGTAGGATGTTTGTAGAAATCTGAAGCGGAGAAAAGAAAACAGCTACGCAAAGGCAAACACTTTCTTCATCAACGATTCGACCAACTATTTGAATATTGCATGAATTCATTACACGTTTTATAAGTTTTATAAGTATTATATATTATATTTTATATATTTTAATTATATATTATGTAGAAAAATATTGAATTTGTTTTAGAAAATGAGAAAACAAGCTATGCTCAACGAAATAAACGAAATTTGTGTCGAGCAGTTGTAAACGGCGTGGCGTTGTTGCAAGAAGCCAACTGAATATAGCATAGAGTAGATAAAGATACAAACATTGTATTGTGCTGAAAACAAAAACATTAATCGAAAGAGATCCATCAGAAAACAAGGGTATTCTTACAACAACATACTATAGCAAAAGAAGGGCTGTAGACTGAATCTAGATAGCTAGAAATAAAAAGAAACTATCGATGAAATGTTGAAATAAAGAAAAATACAAGAAAATGATGAATAGAGGATGATATTGGGCAGAAACGTTAGTGGAGTACTTGATTATCCTTGTTGGCAGGTGATGTGGGTGATATAGGTTTTACAGGTGATAGGTGATAGGTGATAGGTGATTCAGGTGATAAGGTAACCTGGGTGATGAGGTGATAGAGGTGATAGGTGATAGGTGATTCAGGTGATCAGGTAACCTGGGTGATGAGGTGATAGAGGTGATAGGTGATAGGTGATAGGTGATAGGTGATTTAGGTGATGAGGTGATGAGGTGACAGGTGAGCGAGGTGACTTGGGTGATAGGTGATAGAGGTGAAGACTTGGTGAAAGGGAAAATGTTACATAGGAAGAGAAGGAATTAAAAGAACGAAATAAAGAAGGAAGAAGAATGAAAATAATTTTTATGATAATAATATTAACAAAAAAATAAAATGAAATAAAAAGTAGTCAGTAAAGGAACGTAGAAGAAGAGAAAATAAAAAACATAGAAATGAGGATGCAGAGAAGCAATAAGAAAAGTAGGGGAAGAATGAGTGAACGAAAAATAAGAAATCAAACAATTAAAAGCAGAAATACTCGTTAAAACATGGGTAGGGAGAGAGGTAGAGTTAGAAAGGGGGGAGAATGGAGTTGAGTTGGTGAGTGCTGGGTAAGGAAGAAGGGACTAGAGGTAGAAGTACAGCAGAGTAATTTGGATGAATATGAGTAGATAGGAGGAATTAAAGAAGGACAGATCAATGAGAAGAATAGAAATATAAATAAAAGTTGAAGAAATCTTTGTTGGAACGACAAGGAGAAGAGTAAAGAGACGAAAGGATGTTTGGGTGTATAACTAAGTCAAGACACGATATATTCGTTACGAAAACATCAGAATAGAAATGAAAAAATAAAAGAAAATGTTTGGTGTGTTACAGAATGAAATGGGAAGAGTGGTTGTGGAGTGTGGTAGACAGAAGGAGAGCAGAGGAGGGTAAACAAAAGAAAGGAGAGAGAGAATGTGAACGAATGGATGAATATGAATGAAAATGACAACGCAATGCATTAAAAAATAAATTAAATAATATAAAATGTATTTGACACCATACAGATAAACACAAGTGGAAATAGAATATATATTATAAAGTGAGAGGCAGAGGAGATAGTTCAAGTAGAAAACCCAAAATAAGAGAAAGAAATATTCGTAAAAAATAAAAAATGAATAGAATAATTAATAAAACATACAATGGGAGCGAAAGCAGTCGTATAGCAAGCACGGGATGAGGCAAAACATCAAAATGACAGGGGAAGAGAGGAGTGAGAAGGGGGACTGAAGGCAAAACAAGCAGAGATATTCGCAAAGAAAATAGAAAATAGAAACTAATAAAAATATAAATATAAAAGAATGGTCGACAGTAAGCAAGGAATAAAAGTATTTGAGTGTTGGACAACTAGTGAATGAACAATAGATGTACAGAAGCAGAGGGAGAGAAACAAAAAACAAGAAACGATCAGAACAATAAAAAGAATATTTTAAAGAAGAAATATTCGTAAAAAAATGAGGAATGATGGGTGGAGAAAGAATGGAAAAGTAGTAGTAGGCAGATGAGAAGGGAGGGAGGGCCATGAGAGCAGAGAGCAGAGAGCGGTGGACGACATCCAAGTGGGAATGAAACAAGAAGCAAGCAGGCCAAGAGAATAAAATTGAATAGAAATGAAAATAAAAAATAAAAAGGAATCAACGTAGAGATAAATAGAAAAGTTAGGGAAAGAAACAGAAACGATTATAAAAGATGAGTGAAGACGAGCAAGAAGTAGAGAATGCCAGAGGTGAGAGATGGAAAAGGAGAAGCAAAAAATAAAAGAAAATAACGAAATGGGAGATATTCTCGTAAAACGTAGGTGAAGTCAGGTGGGAGGTATGAAGTGAGAGAGGTGGTGGACATGATGGAGGGCGAAGAGACAAGGCAGTATGAAGGAAAAGACAGAGAAGAAGAGGTAGAAGAAGTAAAAGTGGGTAATAAAAGAAAATAAAGAGAAAAATAAAAAATAAAAAATAAAGAAAATATTAATGAGAAAATAGTAGAAACGAATGTAAACATTAGGTGTAGGAGGGGAAAGCAGTAGTGAGAAAAATGGAGAAGATGAAAGAAGACAAGTAAGAAATAAGAGAAATAACGAAAAAAGAGAAAAAAAAGGTAGAAACATTCGTAAAAAAAGAAGATGGCAGAAGAGGAAGAAGAGAAGCAAGGCGAAAGCACGGAAGGTGAAGTAAAGGCGACAGATGGGGAAGGTGAGTAGGCAGAAGAAAGAGAGGGAAGGGAGAGAGAGGGAGAAGTAGGAAAGAAACAAAAGGAAGAAAAATAGAGAAAATAGGTAGAAACGCTCGTAAAAAAAGAAGAAGGCGGAAGAGGAA